AGCCCGACACGTTGGAATTCAACACTCCTAATGTTCAATCGCCTGCTCCAACAAGAAAAAGCCATTAATGAGTATTTGTATGACCGGGGTGCTAGGACAGCCTCTGCGGAGCTGGGAATTTTTTTGCCACGTTACTGGACGCTCATGCGCAATGCCTGTAGGCTCATGCGTCCTTTTGAGGAGGTGACAAATTTAGTCAGTCGCACCCAAGGCACCATCAGTGACATCATACCATTTGTTTTCTTCCTGGAGCGTGCCCTGCGAAGAGTGCTGGATCAGGCCGTAGATGAGCGTGAAGAGGAAGAGGAAGAGTTGTGGTCACCATCATCTCCAAACAGCCTTATCAGCATCGCTTGCTTTGTTCCGCGCAACGCCAAGAGGATTGTGAGGAAGATAGAGTCAGAGGAGGAATGTGGCTTGGAGGAGGAAGAGGAGGAGCAAGACCAACCACAACAGGCATCCCAGGGTGCTCGTTGTCACCTATCTGGTACCTGTGGTGTTGTACGTGGCTGGGGGGAAGAAAATACCTTCATTGACATCAATGAGGAGGAGGAACGGGAAATGAGTAGCTCGGCATCCAACCTTGTGCAAATGGGGTCTTTCATGCTGTTGTGCCTGTTGAGGGACCCTCGTATAAAAAGGCTGAAGGAGAACGACCTGTACTGGGTGTCCACGCTACTAGACCCCCGGTATAAGCAGAAAGTGGCGAAAATGTTACCGAATTACAACAAGTATGAAAGGATGCAGCATTTGCAAAATAAATTTAAAAGTATGCTTTACACAGCGTATAAGGGTGATGTCACAGCACAACGGGAATCTAACAGGGGGAGAGGTGGAAGTCATCCTCCTCCTCCCATGACCACGCCGGCAAGGACAGGACGCTTTAGAGACGTGTTGTTGATGGAGGACATGCGGACCTTTTTAAGTCCTACGCATCGCCACAGCCCTTCGGATCCACCCTCAGAGAGCTTTATCACCGACAGGTAGTGCAGACTACCTCGCCTTAACTGCAGATATCGACACTCTGAGGAGCGATGAACCCCTGGACTACTGGGTGTGCAGGCTTGACCTGTGGCCTGAGCTATCCCAATTTGCGATAGAACTTCTGGCCTGCCCCGCTTCAAGTGTCCTGTCAGAAAGGACCTTCAGTGCAGCAGGAGGTATTGTCACTGAGAAGAGAAGTCGCCTAGGTCAAAAGTCTAGATTACCTCACCTTTATTAAGATGAATGAGGGATGGATCCCGAAGGGACTGACACTGGGCGATACATTAGCTTAAAAAAGGCCTGATGAGATGAGCTGCCTTGGGCTAAAAATGGTCCACACGCCGCTGTATTTTAGCTCTGAATGCCTGTTGACTTGCGTGACTGATCCGCCACCAACTTGGGTTCAAGCCGCCATCTTTTAGGGCACTTTCTGCCTGTGAAACAAACATCAGTTATAGATTGAATAGCAGTTAGTTGTCTCAAAGCTGGTGCAGTCAGCCCCAGCTGCGTACCTGCCAGCACGCCGCCACAATTCCTCCTCTACTCCCTCCTGTTTACCCATCCCTTCCATAACCTCTTCTTAGTCCTTCTTCTGCCGCCAAGGCTCGCCCATTATCAACGGATAGGGCGAATAGTGACAAAACCTGATAAATACACAACACACCACCACTGGTGTCACAATAGATTGCACGCCGCAGTGCCCCAAATTTGCCAGATCTGTGAGTAAGGTAAACGGTTGTCCACATACAAGTAGGTTGCAGCTTTTTGAGGGCCCACACCACCGCTATGCACTCCTTTCAATGGCAGTGAATATACGGGCAAAAGTTTACGGCTTAGATAGCTCCCACCATCTGCTCCGGACTTGGTTCACTGCTCCCAATCCGCCATAGAAGGCCTGTATGGACTTGGTGTTTAGTTGGATCAGAGAAGAAAGTACAGGTGATTTAATGAGCCGCCTTGAGCTGTTGGAAGGCCTGTTCACACTCTGGGGCCCATACTACTATCTTGGGGAGGTTTTTACGCGTTCCTATATGGCACTTACTGGGCTTTAGGGTCAGTCCGGACTCCCTAATCCGGTCTAGTACGGCTCCTATGCGGGTCAGGTGTTCGGGCCAGGAGCAGCTAAAAATGTCTATACCATCCAAGTAGGTGTGTATCAGAGTGTATCAGGGATCCTTAGGACAGGTGTCAATCCATATCTGCCAAGTGACTCTAGGTAGGGGGAACAGTCTCTATTCTGCTCTGTGTCAGTGTGTATCATGGTCTCTGAGGACAGGTGACAATCCATATCTGCCAAGTGACCCTATGTAGGGGGAACAGTCTCTATTCTGCTCTGTGTCAGTGTGTATCAGAACCACTGATAGGAGACGGGAAGGTATTAAACTGATAAAATAGTACTAAACACTCCAATTCTATCTGGTGTCACATTAGCTTGACAGCCAGTGCCCCAAATTTGCAGTAAGAGGACCACCAAGCCTCTTCTTCCATCCTCCCTGTTACAAACAATGCCGCGGTACACCACCGATAGAGACGCTGGAAGGTATTAAACTGATAAAAAATAGTACTAAACACACCACTCCTATCTGGTGTGTCACATTAGCTTGACAGCTATGCCCCAAATTTGCAGCAAGAGGACCCACCAAGCCTCTTCTTCCATCTCCCCTGTTACAAAATCAATGCCGCAGTATTACCTAATTACCGATAGGAGACGCTGAAGGTATTAAACTGATCAGAACAATACTAAACACACCACTCCCATCTGGTGCCACATTAGCTTGACCGCGCAGTGCCCCAAATTTGAATTAAGAGGACCGACCAAGCATCTTCTTCCATCTCCCTGTTACAGAAATCACTGCCATATCCATACAAATTGTACAGAATGTCCAGATAGTTTTCCAGGGACAAATGTTGTCGCCTGTTGAACGAGGTGACCTTGCTCGGGTCCCAGGTGTACGGTTCCTAAAATGGCTGCCATATACACGTCCACTGATAGGAGACGCGAAGGTATTAAACTGATCAGAACAATACTAAACACACCACAAATAAGGTTTCTC